TTGATCATCACATTCATTGACAGCCATGTAGTGTTTCTCCAAATCTTTCTTGAGATTATTATTACATCTAAGAAGAGTAAAGAGAAAGCTTGAGAACACTGGGAGCCTGAATCGTGGAATATGTGAATGACAGAAGGGGAGAAGGAAGCAGGCAGTTGTATTTACTTACGATTTTATTGGTTCTGACTTAAATCTCTTTCAAAAAGAGTTGACGTGAGGTTTGCACTATTTTGATAAACTTGGATTGTCTTATTAAATGGGAAGAATGGATAATGAAAGAGTTTAGAAATATATTCTTTCTTTTTCTCAATATATACTTTTTATCTATATATACTTGTGGCCTGTGTGTCTACACACAGGTAGTGTGCTTCATATCATCTCTTTGTCTCTCTAATCCAGTGGTACTCTTCCTTCTCCTACTTATGAACTTATTTCACTACATTTTATTCTTTATAACCTTCTTTCCATCCTTCATATCATCTCTTTGTCTCTCTAATCCAGTGGTCCTCAACATTTTTGGTTGTTACAACACTCAGAAGGCAGAGGTAAGAGATGTTGCTATACTCCCTACAATGAACAGAACAGTCACCCGCAACAAATAATTATCTGGCCCAAACTTCAGTAGTGCCATGTTTGAGAAACCTTGTTCTAATCTCATCTAATCCCATAGCTTTAATTACTAATTACCTATATATTTCTCTCAAATATATTTATCTTCAGCCCTATCATTTCCCCAAAATTCAAGTTCCTCATTTTACTATCAGTGAAGTATTTCAAACTCAACATACCCAGCATTTTCTTTTATGCCCCCCTTACCACTGCAAATATATCTCTTCTGACTCCTACTTTGTACTAGGGTTGGGTATGCACAGGTATATTCATTCTTTATCTAGACTATAAGCTTCTTGTGTGTGAGACTATGTCCTTATATTACTCAGCTTGGTATCCCGCAATGCTTAGCATGGTGCCTTTCCCATAAAAATCTCTGAACACATTTACTGGATAACTAAAATATAGAATCTTTGAGTAAAATGGGAGAAAGTTACTCAAATTCACAGAAATAAACAATTATAAAACAAAGGATATTGGACAGTGGGAGCCTCTTTTTTTTTTTTTTTTTTGTTTTTGAGAGAAGATGGAGGAAAAGCCTATTTGTAAAGAAGAAATTGAACTGAGTTATGGATTTTGGTCATATGTGCAGTGTATTGCTAGGAAAGTCTGGGACAAGGCCAGCAGAGGTACATAGTGGAAAAAGACTCTCCAACTCAGAAATGTTTGCAACATTTAGAATAAAGCTTTTATGCTCATACAGTGAACTTCCTGAGTGTAAAAATTAAGTCTCCCCTTCCTTTTCCTAATATGTCAATAGTCTAAGCGCTTTACAGAAGGGTTTGGTCATGTAGAAATACTGCTCACTATCCTATGTATTAACAGATTGGGAAAATTTTTAAATGAGATCTTCAATAGAAGGACTCTTCTAACTCAATATAACATACAAACTTTGAATCTGTTAATATGTGGCTGGAGCAATTTTTTCATCGATGTTTGCCAATTTTTGCAGGAAGAAAGGTTGCTTTTCACAATAATAACCTTAAAATACTGGCAGTTTGCAAAGGAAAAATTTATTACTGCTACTATAGGTTTTAATGTTAAGTGTATTTTATTTTTGTAGTAATTCTTATAATAATAGTAGAATATTTAGTTAACCAAACCCCCTCCGTTCTACAACCTAGCCAATGACATTGCACTTCTATTTAGGACACCTAATCTTAAGGTTTCTAATGTTCATATACATTCTTTTATGAACCTTTTTTTCTTTTTGAATCTACCTTTACTTTGGGAGACTACTCATTACTCCAAAACACCTTTAATAACATCTCTATTCAATTAGATTCCCAGTACCCTCTTCCTCTATGTATTCTGTTGAATATTTATAGCTTCCCAAGATCAATACTTCTAATTTGTTTATTTGAATACAGCATATTTAGGTCCTGAGATGTTTCAGTAAATTACTATTATCGCAGGATGGTATGTGAAGTCTGAATCGAGTTTTAAGCATATTGGTTCCTTCTCTTCTGATTGCAGTCATTTAATTCTTCAGGAGAAGATTTCCTTTGCCCCTAATCCTGAAGCCAATGTTCAGAGGCCAAGGTATTCTTTCATTGTGAAGAATCAAAGGAACAGGAGATGTTGTTCCTCATGCTTCAGGCCAAGGTACACCTCCTTCCAGGGCCTGATGGGGGCAATAGACCACCTTATGATGACAGGAGCATTTTACAACTTGCTTTCAATGATGAACCCTCTCCTTCCTTTTTGGGAATTCAACAGAGACATTTGGACTACTAAATCTGAAGGACTGAATAAGAAAGGAAGTCAGTCATTTAGCACATACTCACTTTCTCATTTGATCCTCAAAATGACATAAAAATGTGTGAATTAATATCAAGAAACTGAGGTCTGAGGGTATGGGCTGGTCCTTTCTGTAAATCATCATTTTCTTTTGCTCATTAAGAACAGAGCTAAATAAAGGAGAAAAGAAGGAGCAAGTGGAAGCTTCTGCTGTAGTCATAATCATTTCTTACCTTAACAAAAGTTTTTATAATTTAAAAGGGTTTCCATGAAAATTAGCTCAATTGTATCTCCTAATGGCTCCACATGCTCTTTCCAGGCCAGTCCAAGGAAAAATGAATCACTATCATTCTTAATATACTGCAATTCTTTCTAGGACTTATCCAAGTTGAACAAGGTAGTCTTCATTTCAGGAGGATGGACTGCTAAGAACACCTTGCTCTCTATATTAAAAGCTGCTCAGTTTAACAAACATTTATTGAACACCTGTTATGTGCCAAGTGCTATTCTGAGTGCTTGTAGTTCAGAGATGAATAAACTCAAGTTCTGGCTTCAAGGGGCTTATGGTCTAATAGAAAAGACCATAGCCATTCAATTATAGTGCAAGAAGCTAAGGAGTATGGAGGAAGAAATTTAGCCTGGCTTGGGGTTTAGAGAAGACTGCTTGGATTTTAGGCCCAAGGAATGTGTCAACAAGTTTAGTAAAAGGCTCACATCCAACTACTGAAGTATATTGCATTTTAGGTTTGTTATTATATATCCCAGAACCAAAAACCTTTATGAGTTTCTCTCTTTAGGCCTTATTCCAGTTGTAAGACATTTGTCCCTATTTTTCACAGATTCTTGGTCAGATTAGATTTAGAGCCATAGGCTTTCTGGCTGATTGCATGTGGATTATGACGTGTAAACTAAGAATGTCATGATATCTGGTAATGCAGGATCCTTCCTGGTCCAATTAAATTCTAGAGTAAAAGATCTGTTTTCATGTACATGGACTTGGTATAAGACAAGTTTTAAACAATCACCACTGAGTTTAGCTGGGGGTTTGTGAAGTGGGAGGTGCATGCCAACCTTTTCATTTGTTTATCTGTGCCACCTTCTCCTATAGGCCCTGCTGGCTGATGTAATCTAGTGTTGCCCTTAGAATTCTATCATTTTTACAACATCAGCTTGACTTATACTGTGAAATGATTTCACCAAGTGGCATTCCGTCTTCTTAGATACCAGGAAACAGAGAAACCGGAATATTGCTGAGCATGTTATTTTCCTTGATAATACCCCTGTGAGGGACAGATATATGAGTCTAATTGTAGATACTCATCAATGGAGAGACAGAGGAAGGAAGAGGATAAGTGATGATTTAGGTAGTAGCAGTACAAGAATCTTACTTCTGTGTCCAGGTGAACTGTTTCATTTGCTGTGGTTTCTTTAACCAGCACAAAACACAGAGCTTAAAAAAGACATCATGATGAATTCAGTGTGGGGGTCACAAATCAATTATTCTCAATTATTTTTCTTGTTGAGAGAAATGTATACAAATAGTCCTAAAGCAGAAGGGATATAAGGACTGCACTAAAAAAAATTAAAAAAAGACTATATAAATCCTGTGTCTTTAATTTTATCTCTACTTAATTGGCAGGATAAATGATGATTTTGTATTGAGAAGGAATCTTAAACTACTGAGACTTGTGAACAGTGCAAACTAGGTCCCTTGGTATTTATTCAGTGCTCTTTTGCATAACACACCACATAGAGGAGTAGTTTCTATTTGGAGTATAAAATCATTAACTGATTGCACATCTGTCATCTTTGTGGATGGAAGCAGATTCTGCATACTTATGTCTCCTGGCTCTAAAAAGAACTTCTTCCCATTAGTGATTCTGATTCCTACCTCTGTAAGTAGCTTGAAAACTGAATTCAATTTACTTTAAGTTGCTTAAAATTTTACAGATTAGTGTTAAGATAGATAAACTACTTTTTCATATCAGATAATTCTCCCAAGATGTGTAAACACTGTGTGTTATCTTTAGAAATCAAGCAGCAGACAAAACTGAAACAGAGTAATTTTATTCCCTCACTTATTTGTATGGTGAATTCTTCTTTTCTTTGGAAGAGCTGACATGCAATTAAAAGGCTTAATCTGTTGATTTTATTGTCAATTTATTTAATTCTTGAAGAGAGGAGCCAGAAATTACTCTTTACCCAAGTAATGATTTATTAACAAGAATTAATTTTTCACTTATTTCAGACTCATAACTTTAAATCTCAGTTAACATTTAAAAATAGGTAATTTATCAAAATGGAAGAGACAACCCTCTCAATAACTGTATAATACCTACTGTGAAATAGCTTATTTTTTCTTTAGGAAAACATTTAGCTTACATCTTTCTTTTCTTTCTTTATAGATAACATCTACACTGATTTCAAAAGTGCCCAGTCAGATGAACCAGGGCTAACAGAAGTAACTCTTATGAGACCTTGAATCCCATGCTGCATTTGATTTTCAGGGTGCATTTGATTCAGTACCTAGAGAAATTGTACTAGTTTCCAAACTGCCCTTTAGTTCCTTCCTAGATCTCACTTTCTAATTGTTTAGCAGATAATTTTTCTTTCTTTTTTTTTTTTTTTTTTTTTTTGGTAAGAACAGGTGACCAGTTCCCAGAGAGAGGAAGAGTAGAAACCATAAATGAGTGCTGTCCTCAACCAAGGTGCTGAAGAATACCCCCTGGCATTCTGCTACCAGGTGAATGGGTCTTGCCCCAGGACAGTCCATCCTCTGGGTATTCAGGTGACCATCTACCTCGTCTGCGCAGTAGGCATAATTATTATAGTCCTAGGAAATTTGTTTGTGGTGTTCACTGTTTCTTACTTCAGAGTACTTCACACTCCCACTAACTTCTTGCTGCTTTCTCTGGCCCTGGCTGACATGCTTCTGGGTCTGTTGGTATTGCCCCTCAGCACTGTTCGCTCAGTGGAGAGCTGCTGGTTTTTTGGAGACTTCCTCTGCCGCCTGCATACTTACTTGGACACCCTCTTCTGCCTCATCTCCATCTTTCATCTCTGTTTCATTTCCATTGACCGCCACTGTGCCATCTGTGAGCCTCTGCTCTATCCTTCCAAGTTCACAGTTAAAGTGGCTTTCAGGTTCATCTTGGCAGGGTGGGGGATGCCAGCAGGTTATACTGCCTTCTTTATCTACACAGATGTAGTAGAGAGAGGGCTCAGCCAATGGCTGGAAGAGATGCCTTGTGTGGGCAGTTGCCAGCTGCTGTTCAATAAATTTTGGGGCTGGATAAACTTCCCCGTGTTTTTTTTCCCCTGCTTCATTATGATCAGCTTGTATGTAAAGATCTTCGTGGTTGCTTCCAGGCAGGCCCAGCAGATCAGCTCCCTCAGCAAAAACCTGGCTGGGACTGCCAAGCGTGAAAGAAAAGCTGCCAAGACCCTGGGTATCGCTGTGGGCATATACCTCTTGTGCTGGCTTCCCTTCACTATCGACACACTGGTGGACAGCCTCCTTAATTTTGTCACGCCACCCCTTGTCTTTGACATCTTTATCTGGTTTGCTTATTTCAACTCAGCCTGTAACCCAATCATCTATGTCTTTTCTTACCGGTGGTTCAGGAAGGCACTGACACTCATTTTGAGTCGGGAGATCTTTTCACCTCGGACACTCACCATTGATTTGTACCAAGAATAACTCTTTTAACTGAATTCAGGAAAGTGGGAGGCCTTTGCAGGAAGGATGAGTGGTGCTGTAGCAGTGGGCTGTGTGGTGTCATGGGTTTATGTACATGCTTCCAGGGCAGCCTGGTTTAAGTGTCGGAGAAAAAACAACTTCTTAATTTGGAATGAAATATAGCACTCCCCTCATTCAGTGTTTCTATAGTAAGATGGAGGAAAAAGGGAGAGTAAAGTCATTTAAATATTTATTGGATAAGTTAAAATTCTGAAAACATTCAGCTCCTCATTCATTACTTTCTTGAGATAACTAACATACAGAGGTGGAGGAAAAAGAGCGCCGAGGACTTCTGATTCCTTGTCTTGGTTCTGCCACCTGGCAGAGCCTGCTGGGACAATTCAGCAATCTCTGAATCCCTCCCCCATCACCGAGTTTGCTCATTTAGAAAATTAGGGTCTTGTATTGTTTGCTTTCTAAGGTGTCTCAAATATCCTATAACCTTACTTTGGGAAACATTGTTTGAATCCTAATTTCACATCACTTTTCATAATCGTGGTCAAGTGTATGGATCATTTTTCAAAATGTTCTGTTTAGAATCCTTGTCTCCTTGGCAGCCAACCACTAAAAAGGTTTGTATGCCAGGTTTGTCTATTTCGGTGATCACTGAGTGAATGTATCATATTTTTGAAGGAATATTTTCTTCCTTTTCTTTAATAATACAAGCTTGAAAATATAAGGACTATTTTTCCATGCAAAAATAATAAAAATAAAAGTGATATTGAGTTACATCTCACCATTTAATATTACATCCTTTTTTTAAAATCACACGAGTTAGAACTATTATCTTTCCAGGGACACCAGTATATGATTTTCTTTGGAAAAACAAGTACCTATGACACATGCTTCCTCAGAATTGAACTAAATGTTTCTCAGGAGCTATTATTAGCAAAGGTACTGACACTTTTTATGTATATCTTGCTTCTGTTTCTTTCTTAAATCTTTTTCTCAGATCTCTAGTCACTCTACTTCCACATTTCTTGCTTAGTTTTTTCAGATTAATAATTATTTACTTGGAAAACTTATTTGTAAATTAATTTGTGGTCTCTGGAGTTCAGATGTACAGATAAGTGTAGTTATAGATAAAGATACAGACATAGATATATCAATTTCAATAAATAAATAAAGAAGTAAAGTCATATTTTGTCAATAAAGTTGGCTGAAATTTATTTATTCTGTTTATTTCTCATTTTTTTCCTAGAGCGATAACTTCTCTTGAATCCATTCTTATTCCTAATTTAAAATAATTGTTGTAAAAATATTTTTCAATGTATTTTTAATGTTTAATTTTTCACTGGAAGTAATTATTCTTTCTTTTCCATTTAGCTCTTAAGCATTATGAGATAATTACATTACAAATAAATTATAAATTAAAATTTATCCTACTATATAACAGTTTTGAGACATTATAAAACTAAGAATACTTTGTCTTAGATATAGCAATAAATACAATTTACAAAGTGTGTCAGTCATTACTTTAAAAAACACATTCCCCTCCTGGAAATTCCTGGAAATAAATCCACACCTATTCCCAATCCACTGAGGATGACTGTCCTGGAAGTAAGAACACTCAGATACTTCCCAAGGTGGAACTCTGTGTGTTAGCCACTTTCACAGGAGCAGGCAATGATTCCACTTTTTTTCACATCTTGCTGTTTTCTGTTAATGGGAGAAGGCTGCATTAGCCAAGAGAGATTGCAGAATACGGAGAAGAAAAGGATGGAAAGAGAAGGAACTCATATTTACTAAGAACCTAAGCATCTCACTTACTGCTCACAAACCCTGTGGGTGGACATTAGCAACCTTATGTTACGGATGAGGCACACAGAAGTTCGGTAATTTACTCTCCTCTTAATTGAAGGTCTTGACCTATATACTCTGAGATACTGGAGGAAACTGGACAGCTAATAAATCAAAAGCAGATAGGAGACTTCAGCTTCTAGTGAATCATCGAAAAACTAGAACATGAGTGTCATGGCACAATGTTCATATCACCAATAAATCAAGATGGAGTAAGAACAAGAATCACCATGTGGTGGGTGCCGCAAATGGGTTAACAAGTAGGGCTCCTGACACTGGGCTTTGATGCTCAGCTTCTTTATCATCTATGATATGAGAACAGGATGTAAGAAGCAAAAGCATTGTATCTAGAAAGTCTGTTTAGACCATAGGACAAATGAAAACTTATGTTCAATGATGTTTTCCTGAGATACGAGTAGAATGTCCATGATACTACTTTACTGTTATGGGATAATTACCTTTCCTCACTCTCTCTCTTGCTGAATGAGAATTATCTACATTTAAAGCAAGTATTGTTAATTTTTTCTGCCATGACCTCCTTTGGCACTTTGGTAACAACCATGGACCCTGCTTCAGGAGAAGACTCTTTAAGTGGATAAGTTTTTTAAAAAAATAGCACATAGACTTATAAAGGAATACAATTATATTGATATATAGTTATCAAAATATGTTTTAAATAGCCGAGTTTGCAATATAATCATACATGTGCTTCTTTATGAAACATTAAATAACCACATCTGAGATAAGTGCAATAACTATTGTAATTTTGTAATAGTGATGGGCATAAGTGAAATCTCACAATACCTGTAAGATACTGTGATACAAAAATATTAATTTTTACAGGTGATAAAAATCAGAGGTAGTGCTAATTAATGGTATTTTTGCCTACATTAAAATGGAGGGAAATGTTAAATTTCAAGTAGAGATTAGTGAATATAGAGATATAATATTTTTTCTGTGTAACTTCATGGGTGCCTTGGTTAAAGAATCTCCTTTCAATCTGACACCAGATCACTTTTCTGAGCGTGGTAACTTTGTGATCAAATGTAAACAGAAGGTCGTGGCAGTCAGACCTCACTATTAACTGCCAATAGCCTGCAGTCTCATAAACTCATCTCCAGAGCATTCCACTGGAAAACTACTTAACAAGCAGAATCATTTCTTGGTGTTTTTGTATTTGCTTTTATATCTCTTTTTTTAGTTTTTTAAAAACTTCCTGTTTTGTGTGAACCTGGCCATTATTTTTTCTCTAAACATTTCCCATCTTAATTATATTGTTTTCTTACTATTTAGTCAAACCAGTTCACAGCTCACCTGAGCTGCAGCATGTGTGAATATATAATGTACATGAATGTATATGTGTATATGTATAGAAGAATAAATATGTGATCTATATGTTATCTACATAACCAATGGTTTCGAGCAAGGCAATTTCTATAGCAAGAGTCTCTTTATGTTACTTCTGAATACTCTGTTCCATAAAGTACATTCAGCATACGGCGTCAAGAATCAAGAGATGATCCACAAAGTGTATGAGAGAATCAGGCTCCCTCTCACACTCAGAGTTTTACAGTTTACATAGCTTTTCTCTGGATTTCTATTAACTGAAGAGTTGGAACTGTAGAGGAAAGCTTTGATAATTAAAGAGAAGTGATTCGCCATGCTTGCTTGGTCCTGGCCCTTGGCACCTGTCACATGATGTCACTGAGATTTTATCTTCTACAATTGTCACCTCTATTTTATGCTCCTTTCCCAGCGTGGCCTCCCCTGCTCCCTACTCTCTTGGAAGGAACAAACGTTCCAGGCATACTGATATTGGGCTTGGCCATGTGACGTACTTTGATCAATGCAATACATGATCAAACAGAAGCTTTAAATGTAATTGTATGGTTCAGTCCTGCTCTTGAATTTTTGCCCCCTGCCCTGAGATTGTCTCAATAGGCGCTGCTCCTTCAGCCTGGGTCCCAGAATGAGAAGACAGGAAGAGCAGACCCGTGACTTGCGTGCAGCGGGGAGCAGAGTTTCTGTCATCCTGAGACCCATATGTAACATGAACAAAAAGCAAATGTTTGTTGTTGTAAACCATTGAAAATATATGCGTTATGCTGGAAAATTGACTAATATACACAAAATTCCAGTGTTTGTCTCATGCTGCCCTCATTTTGTCCCACTCTTAACATCAAAGTACCTTCCAGCTTTGAAAGTGATCCCTTCCTATTTCTACACTTTGATCTCAGTTAAGTGTATTACGAGGTGTAACATTAGTCATCCTGGAAAAATTTGGAGTCAGAAGGCAAGCTTTCTTAAAAAACAAATATTTTCCTTCATAACCTTAAATTCTTCCAACTTAGGAGAGTAGAGACTCTCACTGTGAATGAGGACCCTGAACAGAATTCAATGATTGTCCTGAGGGACTCACATCTGTTGCTGAAGGTCCAAAGTGTGTAGTTCTGACCTACCTCTCTCAAAGCTGAGGTTCAGAGGAGTTTAGTAGTATAACTTCAAATATTTCAAACGTGATATTTTATTCAGCCTCTCAACCGTTTATTGAGAATCTACTATGTGCAGAGTGCGATGCTAAACCCTGCTGGATCCCAAATTCCTGAAATGTCATCATTGTACTAAAAAATCTTTTAGTCTCAAGGCATGGAAATAACTACAAATAAGAACAAGCAAGGCATAATAGAAGTCAGTTCCCAATAAAGTTACAACAAAGAACTATGATACTCAGGAGAGAGAGCAGTCTCATATTTCTAGAGGGATCTGTATTCCAAATTAAGGGCTACGGAGTCAGATGGGCCTGACCAAATTCAGATTTAACTGCCTCTTTTTCCTGTCATCTGGGGAAAGTTATTTATCTCCCATAAGCCTTAGTTTTCTCCTCTGAAATACTTACAACTGTCCCATAGTGTTGTGAAGATGAGGTGAGATAATCACATAAATAAATGTCATAGTAACTGGCTAAGGCAGTGTTCCATAAATTGGTGTGATCGCAAAGACTTAAAAGAGGAAGTGGCATATGAAATAGGCTTTAAAGATGGGAAGTTTCTGAAAGGGTAGAAAAGGTAGGGAAATGCATTTTAAAAAGAAGGATTAGAATAAACATTAACATGTACTATTGTTTAAAAACATCTCTCTTTACTGAACTTCAATACTTACTCAAAAAATTTTTGCAAAGAGTTGGGGTTCAGATAGGTTAAGGGTATTGTTATAGGTCACCAAGTTAACAAGGAG